CTCACAAATCTCCACCTTGAAACAAACTCTACAATAACAGGAAATAAACTAGCTTTCATCATGCATCTTTATCAATTGCATACAGTGGAAAAACTTACAGCTCGACAATGTCTTGGTGATCATATCAGCAACATTGTCATCCATCGAAACCTTCATCACTTGGACTTCTCCATGCTTGATTATCTCTATGACGAAGTGCAGCCTTACATCGATGTGCTTGGTTTGCTCATGATAGGCTGAATTCTTCGACAGGTGTATTGCATTTTGACTATCACATTCAACAGTGATAACTCGACCTTGAAGTTTCAGCTCCTTTGCAAAACTTTCAAGCCACAATGCTTCTTTCACAGCTTCAGTGAGGGCAAAATATTTTGCATCAGTGATTGATAAGGCAACAACCTTCTGAAGTGTCGCTTTCCAACTGATTGTTGTGCCAAACATAGTGAACATATATCCATAAATAGATTTTCTGAAATTCATACACCCTACATAATCAGAGTTAACATATCCTTCGATTTCGACTTTGCTATCATAACTACAGGCTCCACCATAAATCAAGACTCTATATAGAGACCCTTTTATGTACCTAAGAATCCACTTCAAAGCTTGCCAGTGCACCTTTCTAGAATTGACCATATACCTACTTACAAGGCTCACTCCATACACTATTTTTGGCCTCGTACAAACCATAACATACATCAAAGAACCTACTATACTAGCATATAGAATACTCATATAGATTCTTTCGGCTTCAGTACTCAGAATTTGAGTAGTACTAAACTTAAACTGAGGATTTGTCAGAGTCACAACAGGCTTTTAATTCGACATACCAAACATTTAGAGAATCTTCCGTAGGTATGTCTCTTGAGATAAGCATAATTTTGACTACTTTCTATCTCTCCAGAAGTCAATCCCAAGAATCCTGGTGGCAGCTTTCAGATCCTTCATTTCGAACTCCTTACTGAGTTCAACCTTCACCTCAATTACATCCTCAACACAATTGCTAGCTATGAGGATATCATCCACATAAAGCAACAAAATAGCAAGTGAGTTTCTAGGTCGAAATCTGAAGTAAACACAATGATCGAATTGGCTCCTAGTGAAACCAATGTGTGCCATGAACTTGTCGAATATCTTGTTCCACTGTCGAGGAGATTGTTTCAAGCCATACAAAGACCTATTCAACTTGCACACATAATCCTCCTTATCCTTTTCTGCATACCCTTCAGGTTGCCGCACCAGGATTGTTTCATCTAGAACACCATACAGGAAGGTTGTCTTCACATCCATTTATTCAAATTCCATGTCGAACTTCGCCACCATGGCTAACAACATTCTAATGGATCTATACTTTACAACAGGTGAGAACACATCATTGAAGTTGACACATTCTTTCTAACCGAAACCCTAGCAACCAAACTTGCCTTAAAGTGCTTAGACATCACTCATTCGAATCCTTCCTTGACCTTGAAAATTCACTTATAACAAACTAACCTGGCTCCTGCATGTATCTCAATCAGCTCCCAAGTGTTATTATCATGAAGAGATTTCATCTCGTATCCATAACTTTCCCCTTTCAATCTTGTTTCGACTCCTCATAGCTTCCTTGTAGTCTCTAGGTTCTTCGTCAAGTACCTCACTAGAAGAGGTTAAGCCAAAATCTATAAGATCTGCATAACCAAGTATCTGAGGTGGCTTGATGATTCTTCTTGAACTATCTCTTACCAGTAGGTAATCATCGACAATTTCCTCATTCTCTTCAGCATCTTGCTCTTCTTCTTCAACTTCATCTTGGTTATGCACTTCAGCATCACTATGCTCCACCTCAGCAGGAATCTCTGCTTGTTCCAGCCCGTCTTAAGAGATTTCTACACTTCTACCAGTATCACCAGTTTTCTTGAACGCCATCTCGACTTCATTGAAAACTACATCACAACTTGTGATACATCTTTTGTGACCTGGTTCCAGGCACCACAACCTATAGCCTTTGACTCCCACAGGATATCTAATGGATATGCATCTCAAAGCTCTAGGTTTGACCTTGTCTTGTCTAATGTGAGCATAGGCTAAACAACCAAATACTCTTAGTTTGTCGAGGCCTGGTGGTTGACCTGACCAACATTCTTCAGGTGTCTTCATTCCCATGGTAGTCAAGAGACATCTATTTATCAGATATGCTGCTCTCAAAATAGCCTTTGCCCAAAACATCTTCTTCAATACAACACTAATCAATATGCATCTAACCCTTTCAAAGATTGTTCGATTGAATCTCTTAGCTAAGCTATTTTGTTGAGGAGTACCTGCTACAGTCTTATACCTTGGAATTCCAGACTCGACACAACAGCTGTCGAAAACTTCATTGCACAATTAAAGGCCATTTCCGGTTCTCAACCTCTTAACCTTTCTTCCAGTTTGAGTTTCGACCAAAACCTTCCAACTTTTGAAATTCTTAAAAGTTTCATCCTTAGTCTTCTGAATGAACACCCATAAATTTCCGAAGTAGTCATCAACTATGGATAGAAAATACCCTGCACCTAAATGTGAAGGATTCCTTGCAGACCCTCAAAGATTAGCATGAATGTAATCAAGGGATCCACATGTTCTTTGTTTACCTTTGTTAAACTTCACCCTACAGGATTTTCCAAACACATAAGGTTCATAAAACTCAAACTTATCGACTTTGTCACCACCTAGTAAGTTCTATTTCCCCAGTTCGACTGTGCCTCTTTCGCTGACATGACTCAATCTCATGTGTCATAATTCAGTCTCCGACACCGACTTTGTGGATGCAAAATCTCATGTGTCATAATTTAACCTCATCCTCAAGGGTATACAGGCCTTGTTTCTTCACACCTCTCAAGACTTCCTTCGACCCCTTCATGACTTTCAGGATATCTTGCTCTCCTTTGAAGACATATCCTTTATTGTCGAATTCACCAAGAGAAATCAAATTCCTCTTAAGATCAAGTACATACCTAACATCAGTCAATAGCCTTATTGAATCATCATGGAGCTTGAATCTCACAGATCTAGTACCTGCAATCTTGCAAGTTTTATTGTTTCCCAACAATATTGATCCACCATCTTGATCACATAATTCTTCAAACACATTCTTGTTTGGAGTCATATGCAAAGTACATCCTGAATCCATAATCCATTCTTTACAAGAGTTGCTGCTTGACACGACAAGGACATCAAATGATTCATAATCATCTTGTAAAATAGCTGCATTGCCATTGTCTTTATCTCCATGATTATTCAGACGCTCATGACACATCTTTCTTGTGTGACCTTCCTTCTTACAATAATAACACCTAGTACCAGAAATATCATCACCATAAGACTTCTGCTGAGCTTTACCTTTCTTCTTCTCAAACCTACCATCCCTTTTCGAGAAATTTCCTTTAACGGACAACCCTTCGCCAACTGATGATGGTTTATGCTCCTTTCTTTCATTTAAATCCTTAGAATACAAGACTGCTTGAACTTCTTCAAAGGTCAGGAATTCTCTTCCATACAAAAGGGTTTCTTTGAATTGAACATGCAACTTAGGTAAAGAACATAACAATAACAACGTTTGATCTTCATCATTGATGGTAACATCAATATTTTCAAAATCAAGAATCAGCTTGCTGAACGTATCTAGCTGCTCCGTCAACGCTTTGTCTTCATTCATCTTGAATGAATATAAAACTTACTTCAAGTACAAATGATTCACCAAGGACGTTGTCATATACAATCCTTCGAGTTTTAGCCAAACACCAGCTGTCATCGTCTCCTTCGAAACCTGCCTTAGAACCATATCACCAAGACTCAGAACAATGACATTGGGGCTTTCTCGATCATCGCTGTCTTATCCTTCTCAGTCAATGCAGCATCCATGTCGTCTTCTCCCTTTAACGCTTCTAGAAAATCCTCTTGAACAAAAAAGGCTCGCATCTTCAAATGCCATTAATCAAAATCATTAACTCCAGTGAACTTCTCAATTTACTTTGTTGGCGGCATCTTCCTCCACGCTCACCGCACTAGTTTGTTGTGACAAACGATACCAATTAACCAATTCTTGATTGAGAAACAGAGTTTTTTGGGTGAACAATGAAACGGTTAGAACACACACACACACACACACACACACAGAGGAAAAAGAAGGAGAAAGGATTTGGCAAACTATTTTCTATTCACTTACTCAATTTGGGTACAAATGATTACAAGTGAATAACACAACTGACCTCTATCGACAACCCGAGAGATCTAGCCTATTTATAGGCTACTAAGTTAACTTAAATAACAAGGTAACCTAAACAATTGGATCCATAACACAAAGCCCAATTCGACATTATATTTCGACATTACATACTAGAACTAACTTCGATTGCAACATGTAAAACTTCAACATCAGCATGTAAACCAGCTCCGACTTCATGCTTGTCTCCTGCCAAACATGAAAGCTTTCCATGCTTACAACATCTCAGTCGACAACACTAAAGTTCGATCCAATATCTCACACTTCACAATTTCAAAAACATCTTAAATTTTGAAGATCACCTTCATTTGTGCACATCATCAATCATAGTTTTCATATTTAAATATTGACAGGATCACAAGAAATTGATTTAAAGTTTATTAAGTTTTCCATCAATCTATAAGAAGGATTAATAGTTATATTGAATCATCCTTTTTATATCAATTTGTTGAAACAATTTGATATGCAAGACATAATAAAGAAGAAAGTTCAATAACTTGTGTTCTAAGCTACTGGACTTTGTAAGATGAATTTAATTAATGTAAGAAAAGAGCAATTTGTTGATCAGTGGAGTATTTTTCATTGAAATAAAAAGTGAATTCTATACAATGGATTTTCAACAACTTTGATACCCATATAACTTTTTGTGCAAGTTATTTAACTAATTAAAAACATTAAGAACAAAGTTACAATTCAACACACACTTAGTCACAAGCTTTCAAAACATGATAACAATACATCAACTACAACATATGTTTCACCCTTCCAGAAAAGGGTAGTCGGTATAGTAGAGAACTGGATCAAAAGTGTAGAATGTTTCCTCGTTATACTTGTTTAGAGGAGCATCAAGTGCAAATCTCTTTTGCAAATCTGGATTAGATATGAACCAACGACCATACGCAACAAGATCTGCCCTATTTTCAACTATAGCATTGATCCCATCTTGTCTGTCATAGCCTCCCACAACCATGAAAGTTCCATTGAAAGCTTTTCTCATTGGCTCCAAGCTGTAAACACATTCAGTATTTTCATCAACAATGTCCATTCTCGGTTCCAACATATGACAATACAAAACACCATATTTATTAATAGCATCAACCATATAAAACCCCAATGCTTTAGGATTTGAGTCTCCACACTCTCCAGTTTCTGAAAATGGTGATAATTTTATTCCAACTCTTTCTCCACCTATCTCATTCACAACAGCTTCAACAACTTCCAAAACAAATCGACAACGATTCTCAAGAGACCCGCCATATTCATCTGTTCTATCATTCACTTTATCTTTCATAAATTGCTCAAGTAGGTACCCATTAGCTCCTTGGATCTCAACCCCATCAAAACCTACAATTTGCAAAACATCAAACATTTGGTAAACAATATTTTTTTGTCTCTAGTTTCAGTTTCTATAGGTCAGTAAAATTACCAGCTTCAATAGCATTTCTTGCAGCAAGTCTAAAATCATTGACAATATGAGGAATTTCTTCTGTTCTTAGCCTCCTCGGTTGTATGAATTGTGACATTACATTACCATCATTTCCAATTTTCGGATTGAGTATTTTATCAGTAGAAGATACTGGTGTTTGTCCATTAGATTGATAAACTAGTATGGAAAATGAAAATACAATACATTAAGTGTTTATATATCAGAAAAATCTATTAAGAAATTACTAATTTAATTTAATATAATAAAATAAAAGAAAAAACATACCAGAATCAAAAACTCTTCCAACATGCCAAAGTTGACAAAAGAAAATACCACCTTTTGCATGAACAGCATCTACAATGGGTTTCCATGCTTCCACTTGCTCTTTTGTCCATATACCTGGCGTGTTTGGATAGCCTTGAGCAGTTTCAGAAACACCGGTAGCTTCTGATATGAGAAGACCTCCATTAGAGGCTCTTTGAGAGTAATAGAGTATAGTATGAGGTTGAGGAACGTTGTTGTAGGATCTAGATCTGGTCAACGGTGCTAACACTACTCTGAAATTAGAGAGAGTGAGTGAATAATTTAAAGCAATTTGAATTCAGAAGCAAAGGAGATTAGATGAATCATTTGAAAATATATTACCTATGAGAAAGATTGAATTTGCCCATGTTGTAAGGAGTAAGAAGAGGAACGTGATCATCGGTGATTTCCATTTAATCACTTATTTAATTAATTATGAAGATTGTTTTATGCTAAAATAAAACTGGAGTGAGGTGAGGGAATTTATGATTCTTGCTGACATTATCGTCTTTGACCATGCGGTTCAATTTGACTAGTGTGAAGCAACAATAAATGTTTGTGAATCCTCCACCTCCACCTGGTTATTGGGTCGATATCCTCTCCATTTCTTTGTCCTTCCATTTTTTTTATTATTATAATTTTGTTATATATAAAATTAATTAAATATTAATTATATGTCACATGTCTTAGAAATGTGTATTATTTACACAGAAAACTATAATAATAAAAAAAATGGAGGAACAAAGAAATGGAGACAATATCAACCCTCATCCCCCATTGATTCATTTGAGTTGTTGACTCGATACAAATACAACCACATTAGAATTACATCGAAATCAACAAGATTAGGTGACTAAAGACCCATTTGAAATTCCAAAAACAAAAATACCAAAACATTACAAGTAAATAGGAATATGAGTGTTAAAATATACACTCATATTCCTATTTATGCAACATATATTACACTCTTCTTATTTTAGATATATTCTGATTGAAAATGTAATTCTTTGTATCGAAATATTTATGTGTTGAGTTGTATTAGTATGTTGAAGCAGGTTGCTTCATATAAAATTTTCACTTAAATCTATTTTAATAATGTTAACTATTTTGGATTTTTATAGTTTTGAGGTTTGATTTAGGGTGCAAGCTAACCTAAATCTGTAAATAGAGAATAACCCTTGTTTTATAAATAATTCTCATAACTCTTAACATTTTATTCACAAAATTTGCAGGTGCAAGTGAATAAAGAACATATTCTACAGTTTGTGGGTAGAGAGTGTTGGCGTTAGTTGTCAACAAAATTGTAGGAACTATAATAAGAATATAGTTATTAATTGTTAATCACTCTGATTTGGTTATAATTATTCTGATTTAGTTATAATTAGAAACAGAGTTTTATGTGTATATAAATATAATCAATTTCCCTTTGTAATATCAGAAACGACTTTTTACAAATGACCGCTTGGTTAATATCAGAAGCGACGTTTTACAAATGAAAACGTTTCCAACAGTGGAGCAAGCATATGCACATGTTAGGATTCGTCAGGCAGTGATGACAGACAACTCCAATGAATTATCAAGAGCAGGTTTTGCATCAAAGGGTCTCAAATTATAGAATAGTAAGATATTTTCTCAATCCAAACATAAAGAACCATCTAATGGCACTAAGTGCTCTCATTGTGGAGGTAACAAACATACTAGTGAGACATGTTTTAAGCTCCATGGCTATCTAGACTAGTGGACAAACTTTCAGGCTCGAAACTCACGAAACAACTGAGAGCAACCCGGGCAAAGCTGCAGTAGCTACTGCTGAACCACATTTTTCCCTCATTCCGAAATCAAGTTCCCGCACTGCTGAAGGTAATATTCTAATTTGCTCTAATCAAGATGATGACTCTAATGCATGGATACTTGATTCCGGAGCTACCGATCATATGACGTTTGATGCTGCTGATTTTTCTGAACGTTCAACCCCTCAGCGCTCAAGTATTGCCAACGCAAATGGTGGTTTATCGGCGGTAACAGGGGTTGGAACTGTGATGTTATCACCAACCCTTTTGCTTTCAAATACACTACTTGTTCCCTCTCTATCTCATAAGTTGTTGTCTGTGAGTCAAATTACAAAAGACTTGAACTGTGTTGTGCTAATTTATCCATCTTTCTGTTTTCTTCAGGATATTCTCACGAAGGAGATCATTGGGCGTGGTACTAAGAGAGGGGAACTTTACTATATTGAGGATTTTAGTGTAGGCCGAGCGCATCACATACATTATCCAAGAAACAACAAAATGGAGCAAATCTTACTTTGGCATCCTCGATTAAGCCATCTTTCGTTTGGCTACTTGAAACATGTGTTCCCAAACTTGTTTTTAGATACATGATTGTTGAACTTCAAATGTGAAGCTTGTATTTTAGCCAAGAGTCATCGAGTCACTTTTTCATCAAGTATGAATAAAAGTAATGTTCCTTTTGCTTTAATCCATTCTGATGTATGGGGTCCATCCCCAAAATTGTCTCTATGTGGTTATCGGTGGTTTGTTATATTTGTTGATGGTTGCACTCGAATGACTTGGATTTATTTGTTGAAACAAAAAAATGAAGTGGTACACATATTTCAACAATTTTATAAAATGATTCAGACTCAATATTCAAAGAAGATTAGGATCCTTCACTCTGATAATGGTGGGGAGTTTGTAAATCACAAATTCCATGAGTATTTCAAAAAACACGGACTTATTCACGAAACCACGTGTCCACAAACTCCACAACAAAATGGTATTGCAGAACAGAAAAATCGCCAAATCCTTGAAACTGCTCGTGCTCTTTTACATGGAGCACATGTGCCTCACCACCATTGGACTGGTGCTGTTACTACAACAGTATGTCTCATCAATCGGATGCCATCGTAGGTTCTTGAATTTAAAACTCCGCTGCAGACCTTGTCCATATTTGTACCGCTGCCTACAATACAAATGCTGCCACCTCGTGTCTATGGGTGTGTTGTGTTTGTTCACCTACATAAAAAACAGCGTACAAAGCTTGATCCGTGTGCCATTCGCTGCCTGTTTTTGGGATATGGCATACACCAGAAAAGGGTATCGCTGCTATGACCCTACTACTCGACGCATTTATGTAACTATGGATGTTATATTCTTGGAATTTGACCATTTCTACTCCTCGGCAGCACTCAATTCTTCTCTTCAAGGGGAGACACCATAAGAAGAGTCGAATTGGTCGACATTTGACTGGTTCAAAGATATTGATATACCATCAACTGAAGTGGCTGGTAATTCGTGTCAAACTCAAATAGACCATATGAGTCCTGAAGTTGAAGTATCGAAATCCCCCCCTCTTCAGTACTCAACGATCCATCTCCTGAGAATATCAATGAGGTAAGCTCTCATATATCTCTTGATAATAATAATGGTGATATCTCTGTTAGCTATGAATTACCTCACAAGCATAATCGGGGAAAACCACCGAAGCGTTACTCTCCTGAAGAAGAGGATCATAGATCAAGGTATCCAATTGCTAATTATGTCTCTATGAAGGAATTATCTGAACCCCTTATGAAATTTGCAAATGAGCTATCTTCACACAGTGTACCTAGCAACATTGAAGAGGCCATTGAAGACACTAGATGAGTTCAAGCTATGAATGAAGAAATGGAGGCATTAAACAAGAATGCGACATGGACCTTTGTCCCTTTACCAAAAGGAAATAAACCAGTAGGGTGTAAGTGAGTTTTCTCTATCAAGTACAAAGCTGATGGGTCAATTGAAAGGTACAAAGCAAGACTAGTAGCTAAAGGATTTACACAAACATATGGCGTAGACTATCAAGAAACCTTTTCTCTTGTTGCCAAGTTGAGCACTGTCAGAGTTCTTTTATCTCTTGCAGTAAATCTTGATTGGCCATTGCATTAGTTAGACGTGAAAAACTCCTTTCTCCTCGGGCACTTGAAAGAAGAAATATATATGGATATCCCTCTGAGATACATGACAAACTATGAGACTAAAATGGTATGTAAATTGCAACGCAGTTTGTATGGCTTGAAGCAATCTCCTAGAGCGTGGTTTTGGAGATTGAACCTAGCAATGAAAAAGTATGGCTTCCAACAAAGAAACAAAGATCATACGTTATTTTTGAAACACCGTCAAGGTAAGGTCACAACTTTGGTTGTGTATGTAGATGACATGATTATTACAGGAGATGACTTTGAAGAAATAGAAAAACTTCAAAAACAACTGGCAACCGAATTTGAGATGAAAATTCTAGGTGGACTCAAATATTTTCTAGGTATTGAAGTTTCTAGGTCAAAGAAAGGCATCTTTTTATCTCAACGAAAATATATCTTAGATCTTTTATCAGAAGTTGGGCTACTAGCCTATAAACCTGTAGATACTCCAATTGTCCAAAACCACCAACTTGGAGAATATCCAGACTAAGTGCCAAGAAACAAAGGAAGGTACCAGAGATTGGTTGGCAAACTTATTTACTTATCTCATACACGACCTTGTATAGCGTATGCAGTAAGTGTAGTAAGCCAATTTATGCACAACCGGAGTAAAGATCACATGGATGCGGTAACTCGAATCATGCGGCACTTGAAGTCCTCACCTGGAAAAGGCTTGATGTTCACAAAGAATAATCATGTACAAGTTGAAGGCTATACAGACGCTGACTGGGCAGGAGATATCACCAACAGAAAATCCACCTCAGGATATTTTACCTTTGTTGGAGGAAATTTGGTTACATGGAAAAGTAAGAAACAAAAGGTTGTAGCATTATCAAGTGCTGAAGCAGAGTTTCGAGGGATGGATAAAGGTCTTTGTGATCTTCTCTGGCTTCAAAAATTGTTAATTGAAATTGGCTTTGCTCTGATAAGTGCGTTGAAGTTTTTTTGTGACAACAAGTCTGCAATTGAAATTGCTCATAATCCGGTTCAACATGATCGAACAAAACACGTGGAAGTAGATCGACACTTTATTAAGCAAAATTTAGAGACCAAGATAATTCAATTTCCGTTTGTTAAATTTGAAGATCAATTAGCAGATATAATCACAAAAGATGTATGTAGTAGAGACTTCTACAACGCATTTGACAAGTTGGGCATTCGAGATATCTATGCACCAACTTGAGGGGGAGTGTTGGCATTAGCTGTCAACAAAATTGTAGGAACTATAATAGGAATATAGTTATTAATTGTTAATTACTCTGGTTTGGTTATAATTATTTTGATTTAGTTATAATTAGAAATAGGGTTTTCTGTGTATATAAATATAACCAATTTCCCTTTGTAATACACAATTGAAATATATGAAAGTATTATATCAGTTTAACAGAGAGAAACTCTTCAGAATATTTATTTTCTTTTTTTCCAACGTTATTTTCTTCTTTCTTTCTTTCTCAACCTTTTTTTTTTCATTCTCATTGCGTGATTGATAACAATCTTGAAATCAAGATTAAGCGAAATTATTCATAGATTATGGTTGAATTCCAACAACTCATATTACTATTTTTTTTCTATTATCTTAAAATATACAACCTCTTCCTCTCTTTTGCAAAATAAGTTTATCATACTTTCATCTTTAAAAGATGCATATAGATCAAAATTTTACCTCTTAAAATTGAATAAGTAGATTTTCGCTGATTTGAACTCGTGCTCATATAATCAGATTCTCTTAAAATTTTACCGCTTAAAATTGCACAACAGACTTTTCAAATAAAGAGACAGTCAATACATGGTTGGTCAGAGAAGTTTGTTGTGAAACTCTTATTATCACCAACAAATAATTGTCTCTTTGTTTGAGAAGTCTGTTGTATAACCTAACCTGCCTATATCTCTCTTGAATATCTCCGGTAGAGTTATTGATTCCTAATTTCTAGCAGGTGACAATCCCTTTAGCGGAGACAACTTGTATTTGGTCTTTTTTCAAGTGAAAGGCTTGATTAAAGAAGAAACTGTGACCCATTCTTGGATGATGACCAGAGATTTAGGAAGTTTGTGCTAATTCCTAGCAGATGGAAATCCCTTTAGTAGAGACAACTTGTATTTGATCATTTTTCAAGTTTGAGACTTGATTAAAGAAGAAGATGAGCCCTATTTTAATAGTGGAAGCTTGTCATTAATTTAACTTGGTTCGTTATTTGAACAAGTGTTTATCTTCTTAATTGAGAATCCTGTTGCGATCCAGTGAATCTTTCGTCCCTAACAGATGAATATCTCTTTATTTGAGAAGTCTGTTGTGTGGTCTGACTTGTTCATACCTCTTTTGAGTATCTACGGCCGAGTTATTGTTTATCTCTAGGAAATGACTATTCTTTGTGAAGTTTGTCTGTTACCCTTTTCAAGTTTAAGACTTGATTAAGAAGAAGCTGAGACCCATTCTAGGTGGAATACCAGAAATAATGGAAGCTTGTTATCATGTTAATCTTTGTTTTCTGTCATTCTTTGAGTCAGTATTATCTTGTTTACTACCTTCAATAGTAAGTTGATTGTTAACCATTTTCTCATTGTCTACTTAGGAATTTTTTTCTCTAGTAGATCAAATGATTTTTCCTTTGAGATTCTCCAGTGGAGTCCGCATCCTCTTTATTTTTTCTCATTATTTATTCAGGGTTTCATTTTCCAATAGACTTAGTAATCCTTTACCTCTCCGGGTTTATTAACCTGTGGAGTGGGTATATCTTTTTTCTGCTTGACGAAGCTTGTAGAAATCCTCCTGAATATCAGCAATGCGAAACAGGTCACTATGAGAAAAACGAGTTTGTAAATTCTTCCATACACCAGCAGCACTATCGATCCACAAAACCGATTTTGCAATGGATTCTAAAATTGAACGATGAAGCCAAGCAAGAATCATGGTGTTGCATCGAATCCATGAAGCATACAAAGAATCTGCTACTCAAGATTTGGTCATGATTCCATCAATGAACTTCTCTTTGCTCTTAGAAATTAAAGCAATATCCATCGATCTTGATCAAGTGTGATAGTTCTTATGATCAAGCAATGGAGACACAAGAACTAGTGTTGGATTTTCATTTGAATGTAGGTAGTAAGGGGTTTGTGGAATTAATGGAAAAATTGTTGTAGATCGGGTAAGCCATTGATGAGGTAAGAAAAACAAAAACGAAAAAGAAAGAAAAACAAGAAAAAGAACGATTTTGCAGTGAAAGAGAAAAGATACAGAAACGAGAAGGAAAAACAATGTCTACCAGAGCTTTCGCTTTGAAAGCTCTGATAATGGTGTAATGAAAACACATAAGTACCATGGTGAAACACTCATAGGCAGAGCAAGCATTGAAAAAGAAAGAAGCTTTGAAGAAGATGAAGAACTTTTTATTAACTTTGTAAAGAATAACAAAATACAGTATCCAATATATATAAATGTGTAATAACTAACAAACAAAATAATTGTAATTAACAGGACACGTGTAATTCAGGCCAAGATGGTAAGAGAAATATTCTATACTAACATATACACAAAAACAAAAGTAAATTCAGCTTTCTCTTTCTCTTCTATGAGTGTTTTTCTAACAAAATTGAATATGTTATTACGGAATAAAAGTGTGCACTTACTAGTTAAGAATCATACTTTCTTTTTAAAAAATCTAATCTCTTTTTGAAAACCTTGGGTACTAATATAGTCTTTGATAGTTGAGAAATGTTATCATGGTGATTTGAATGGCTAAGAATTCGAGTAATATTTAAAATAATCATCATACTAACACAAAGCCCATATGGTTAAAAATATAAGTACATAATAGATTTACACATTGTCTATCCTAGCAGTGAAGTATGATAAGAATCAATAAAAAAACTACTGTAAACAACAATTTTCTCTTTTAAGGTTTACCAACTTCACTACTAAAACCAATGTGCAAGAGGGAAAAAAGCTTATTTAGTATGGAAATTCTACCCTGTGATTCAACAACATATTCTTCATCAGTCGAGAAATGGGTAGTCCGTGTAACCAAGAACTGGATCAGAAGTGTAGAATGTCTCCCTATTATACTTGTTGAGAGGAGCATTAAGTGCAAATCTCTTTGGCAAATCTGGATTAGCTAAGAACAAACGACCATAAACAACAAGATCTGTCTTGTTTTCTGCTACAGCATTGATTCCATCTTGTCTGTCATAACCTCCTGCAACTATGAAAGTGCCATTGAAAGCCTTTCTCATTGGCACCAAACTGTGAGGACTATTATCAACCACTTCAAAAGCAGATTTTATTCTTGGTTCCACCATGTGACAGTATAGAAGATTATACTTATTGAGAGCATTCACCATATAAAGTCCCACTTCTTTAGGATTGGAGTCTCCACATTCTGAATGTTCTGCAAAAGGTGATAATCTTATTCCAACTTTATCTGCCCCTATTTCATTCACAGTAGCCTCAACAATTTCCAAAGCAAATCGACAACGGTTCTCAATAGATCCACCATATTCATCTGTTCTATCATTCACTTCATCTTTCATGAATTGTTCAATTAAGTAGCCATGAGCCGCATGTATCTCAATCCCATCAAAACCTATACCATTTACATCAAATTTATCATATTAGCTCATTTGCAAAATGCAGTTCAAAGAAACAACTTAAATAGTTCAGTAGTTTCTAAAAAATGTTAGTGTACTATGATTAAGACATTTTTCAATTTTGTAGAAATTTGTAAAGATATAAGATAAGTTACCAGCTTCGATAGCATTTTTTGCAGCAAGTCTGAAGTCATTGACAATATCAGGAATTTCGTCGGTGCTTAGCCTTCTCGGAGGCGTGAATTGTTGTGCATGACTGCTTGTGAGTGACTTGTCAGAAGAAGATATCGGTGTTTTCCCATTCGGCTGATAACCTGTTAAAATAACAGAAACATAGACATGCATTGAGAGAGTATAAAAAATAAACTAGTGGTATTAGTTATCAAATAGATACAATACACATACATGAATTTGAAACCCTTCCAACGTGCCAAATCTGACAGATAATGACACCGCCTTTGGCATGAACAGCATCTACAATAGGTTTCCATGCTTCCACTTGTTCTTGAGTCCAAATACCTGGTGTGTTTGGATAGCCTTGAGCAGTGTCAGAGACACCAGTGGCTTCTGTTATGAGAAGTCCACCTTGAGATGCTCTCTGAGAGTAATAGAGAATAGCATGAGGCTGAGGAACATTGTTGTATGATCTTGTTCTAGTAAGTGGTGCCAAAACAACTCTGAAAAAATGAAGTGAAAATGGTTAATGGAAAGTGAAATAACATTGAAATGGTTAGTTACTATGAACAAACCTGTGGGAGAGATTGAAGTTTCCCATTTTGTATGGTGTGACAAGAGGAATAGGATCAGCAGCAGCCATTTCAACCTTTTTGATACCCATAAGTTAAATTATTGATAACTTAACAAAATATGGAATTGAATTTGAAGAGAGTTTGTGTGTTTATCTGTATTTATAGTATATGGCTTAAAGTGATGGAAGGTGAATCGCACACCATTTTTGGTTCTTCTGACGTGTGACCTTGCGTTGGTATAGTTGCCTCTTTTGATTTGTTTAGTTTAATAAGGTGCTACTAAATGGCTTATTGGTTGAAGAAAAGGGTTTAGTATATATTACATCAACATCAGCACAGCACAGGGTATATACTATGTGCTTCCTTAACGGTTAATATTTGTTTGTTAATTCGTTAAGTTATATTACTATATTTAGCTTTTATTTACATTCGGTTCTTTAATTTTAAATGACTTAATTGGTCATATTAGTTATTTTCTATTATCTCTAAATGACTTAATTGGTCATATTAGTTATTTTCTATTATCTCTTTGATAGTTATGGGTTATATGTGTTGAACTTAACTGTTTTCATTCACTTTGGCTGATTTTATGAGTTATCATTTGTGAAGTACTACTAAAATAGACTTTTATTTAGATTGAAATTGAGATTTCACTTGAGACAACCTAGGGTGTAACAAAAAATGTGTTTTTCCCCCCTCAAACCTTTGACTATGCTGAAAAATAGAAAGCACACTATTTATTTTTCTACCATTAATTATATTAATCGAGGAGAAATAAAATATCTCATTACTTTCAGTTAAATTTAATATCTGAGGTGAATAAATAAATAGTATTTTCTTTTTAATGTGAACTATTTTTTTAAACCAAAATCTATAATACATTTTATGAAAGAGAACATCAAATTCAAAATTACACACACATATTGCCTATGTGGCATTATTATTTTGTAAATATAAAGTAGTATGCTAAGCCATTAAGCAATAAACTGCAATCGTTCACTGCAATTGTTTTACAAGAGTAGTGCAAGTTTGTTATTTTTCTCTCTTCTCTCTCTCTCTTCCTTCATTTTCATCTTCTCCATCTTATGCACCAACAATTGTCAAGGTCTTATAAAATAATAATGCCACATAGGCAATATGTGTGTGTGTGTAATTTTGACAAAACTAATATTAATACTATTGAATATGAATTACTTCTAACATCATCTCTTAATTCATATTCAACTAATCAGAACTAACAACACCAATTCCATCCCTCAAGTGGAGAAATTGACCAGTCTTGATTGCTTTCGTCAGAACATCTGTTAGTTGCTTCTGGATGCTACATTGCATAACTTCTAGCACTCCATTATGAACCTGACTTCTGAGAAAATAATATTTAGTCTCAATATGCTTGCTTCTCCCATGCAACACTGGGTTATTGGCAAGATTGATCGCAGAGTTGTTATTAATCATCAACTTTAGAGGCTTGTTTACCTTGATATTCAAATCCTGCAGTAAATTCAGAAACCAAACAACTTGATATGCAGCCTAACACCTGCAATGTGTTAAGCTTCACAGGTTGACAAAGCATCAACTGTTTGCTTCTTGGAACACTAAGAAATTGGACCTCCTAGATACTTGAGCAAATATCCAAAAGTACTTCTTCTGCCAACTCTGTCTCTACACCAATCAGAGTCTGAGTAACACATCCACTCTAAATTAGCCTTTTCACTAGAAGGGAACAAAACTCCATACCTAAGAGTCCCCTTAATATACCTCATAATTGTGACATCAACTTGGTAATGGGACCACTTCGATTTGCTCATGAACCTACTAAACATTCCAACTGCATAGAAAATATTCGGCCTGGTATTACACAAATACCTCAGAGAGACAACTAACTACTTGAAAGTCGTAACATCTATATCATTACCCTCAGGATCAAAACCTAACTTGTAATTTATTTCTAAAGGTGTAACAACAACCTTACAATTTAGCAGCTCAAATCTCTTCAAAAGTTCAAGTTCATACTTCATACGGTGCAAAATGAGACCCTTCTCAGAGTACATAAACTCCACCGCTAAAAAATATGTCATATTCCCTAGATCAGTCATCTTAAACTCATTCATCAGCACCTTCTAGAACTTCATTATCCCATCTGAACAGCTTCCTATCAACAATATGTCTTTAAGATAGAGACACACCAGAATCATCTTGTCTTTAGAAGTATGCTGAACACAAATGCCATACTCCGTCTCACACTTTCTGATTCCTTGGAGCTTGAAAAATGAATCAGTTTTTAGATCCCAAATTCTAGGAGCTTGTTTCAGCCCATACAACATTTTATGTAACAAGTACATCACCCTTTCCTGATTCTTTTTCATAAATCCGGAAGGTTGCGACACGTATACCTCTTATTGCAGTGGACTGTTCAAAAAGGTAGATTTCATATCTAAATGTATCAGAGGCCAATTCATGTTAGCAGCTACCAAAATCACCAGTTTAATTGTCTCATGGCTCGCTACAAGAGCAAACACTTCAAAGTAATCTAACACAGGTTTCTATAGAAATCCTCTTGCTACTAACCTTGCTTTGTGTTTTCCAATTGATCCATCTGACTTCGTTTTCACCTTGAAAACCCATCTGACAATGATGGCTTTCTTGTTCTTTAGAAGCTCAGTCAACTTCCAAGTCTTATTTCTTTCTATAGCCTTAAGTTCTTCTTTCCTGGCCTTCAACCATACTTTCTTCTTGAGCGCTTCTTCAACACTAACTAGTTTAGGGTCTACTAACATGGCACACTAAATGACCTCCCCTTCAGATTCTATTTCAGTATCTTGTAACATATCAAACTCTGCAAATCTCCTTGGTATATTTCTGATTTTTTGTGGCCTCTGAACATGTTCTGAATCTCCTTTGTACGCTGGAAGAATATCATATGCTGGAACCCTAGAAGTACCACCTTCAGAGGCATGACCACCTTAAGAGTCTGGAATACTCCTAGAGTCTAGATCCTCACCTGGAGTCTGAATCACCATCAAAATATGGATCAGAATCAGATTCACCTTTAGAGTCTTCTTTAGAATCAGAGTTACTATCAGATTCTGACTCATCTTCGGACTCACCTTCAGAATCATCTTCTGATTCTGACTCATATTCAGAACCTTTAGATTCTAAAATATCTTCAGAAGTTAACATTGCACCAGAGTTGGATTGAGACTTGTTCTAATCCCACGTTTCTGATTATTTCACAATGACATCTATGCTGAATTCAACTTTGTTAGTGACAGGACAATAGAGCTTATAAGCACCTGTACTGTGATACCCTACAAGCAACATGATTCTACTTCTGTCATCCGACTTCCTTCTCTTAGCTTCTGGAACATGATTCCTTTAGCTTATTGGTTAGACACATGTTGAACACATATGTTGCAGTGGCAATATCTTCTCCCTCACAAGGTGCGAAGAAGCTTCTTCTCCTTTCGTATGCTCCTTTTCATATCAAGCAAAGTCCAGTTTCTTCTTTCAACAAGACCATTATGTTGAGAAGTGTATGGAGCAATCACCTCATGCTCAATTCCATTATGCTTCTGACCACTTTTTTTCCAGCATTCACCTTGAACTTCTGAAACTCAACAAACACCTTATGCTTAGACTTGATGAGTGCTACCCATGTCATTCTGGTGAACACACCCAAAAACGATCCAAAATATTTATTTCCTCCAAGTGAAGATACTTCAAATGGTCCACATGCATCAGAATTCACTACTCCTAAAGCATGATTTGCTCTTGGGGCTACTACTGATGCAAATGGCAATCTAAGTTGCTTTCCTTTCATGTATATCTCACATGACTTCTCAGGCTTCAGAATCTTGGGAATTCCATGTACCAACGTCTTAGAATTCAATTGCCCTAAGATTTTGAAACTAATATGCCCCAATCTCTTATGCAACTGTTCACTGTCACCTTCAACACCTTATATAGTAAGGCATTTAATTTCAATTGTCTTCACATTCACCTTGAATGTTTTGTTGCTTCCCTGCTCAAATTGCATAATCAGCTTCTAATCAGAATCATATAACTTTAAGAGATTGTTCTTCATAGTAATTGAGAATCCTTTCTCAATTGGTTGGCCTACACTCATCAAATTACTTTTCATGCCAAGAACATACCACACATTATGAATTAAAGCAGTTTTACCATTATTCAGAACTACTATGACATTTCCCATACCTTCAACATTAAGGTATGTATCATCAACACATCTGATCTTTGTCCTCTTTCTGTAGTTAAAATCAACTAGTCATTTCTTATTTTTAGTAAGGTGATTTGAGCAGCCAGTGTCCATATAACACCAGTATGCCAAATTCGCATCTTCAGATTCAGAAGTCATCAATAGCACAGATTCATCATCAAAATCTCTTTTGGCTATGTTTTCTTCTTCTGACTTCCTTCCCTTGTTTGACCAACAATCAACAGCGAAATGACTAAACTTCTTACAACAGTTGCATTGAACCTTTCTCTTGTCATACTTCTTTTTCCCCTTCCGAGCATTCTTTTGTCTTTCAGAAGTTGAGGTTTCTGACTTCTGAACACCATCAGATTTCTTCCTAGCTTCTAACCAAGATTGCTTCTGATATTTCTTACCAAAAGTTGTTTTCAGAGCCTACTACTCTACCTCTCTTTTAGAGTTTCTCTCAGTCAGACGCAACTCTTATGCCTCTAGACTGCTTTGCAACTCTTTAATTCTTATGGCGCTAAGATCCTTAGAATGTTCAATTTCTTAAGGAAAGACTCAAATGGTGGAAAAAAAAATATTTTTGGTTGGATTGATCTGTCTGTGGAGCGTGAAGTTGATATCATAAATGAGGTGGAGGATTTTATAGCTGATGGCTCAGGGATTATTTTGGATTTTGATTTGAAGAGAAGAGAGGTGGCTCAGACTGAGTTATGGAAGAAATTGAGAATCAGAAACAGTATAATGCATTAGAAATAAAGAGTGAAATAAATATAAGACGACAATTAAAACACAAAGTACTTTCATGCGATGCTTAACCATAGATCCAGGACTAATTCCATTTCTTCT